GGAGTTTCCTCTGGAGTCCATGTTGTCTATTTAGCTATATGTATGATATTTATTAAGGATTTCTTCTAATGTTCCTAGATGGGGGAGTTTCCTCTGGAGCCCATGTTGTCTATTTAGCTATATGTATGATATTTATTAAGGATTTCTTCTAATGTTCCTAGATGGGGGAGTTTCCTCTGGAGCCCATGTTGTCTAAGATGTTAATTATGTCGGTCCACCTTGCCTGTAGTGATGAAATTCTGACTGTTGTCTCCATGTTGTCCATCCAGAATGTCTTCTATAGACCAAAGGTAGATTATGTTCTTATGCTTAATTTGACTATGGAATATTCTGCTACTTATCAATATGTATGCCTCATGTAAGGTGAGAATGGTAGAAAAATTTATGTATCTCTGATGTGACTATAGCTTGTACACTTGTTCATAGTGAAAATATATACTCTTAAGAACGACATGTGCCAATCTTTGCCTAATATAAAATATTGTGTCTAAAATTCAGAAGAGAAGAACATGTGTCTTTTAAGTTTTAAATACATTTTCTTTTGTAAAGAATGTTAAATGTTCTAACTTGTTAATGTGTTTTCAGGACAAGCAGGACTTGGCGGACCAGAAGAAAGCCAAGTTCCACCAGTCTGAGGGAGACCACCTGACTCTACTGGCGGTGTACAACTCATGGAAGAACAACAAGTTCTCCAGCCGGTGGTGCTACGAAAACTTTGTACAGATCCGCATCCTTAAGAGAGCCCAGGATGTCCGCAAACAGATGCTGGGCATCATGGACAGGTAGGTTACAGATTAAATACTGTAAATCACTTTTTATTCGCAAAAACTTTATTTTCGCAGAATTACGCGTGACAATGATCTCGAAAAATTTCATTCTTGCACATAATAGTTTGTATACCTTAAGATATTATTGAGAAGTAGAAGTAACAACAATTCATGAAAATTATGCCTCGTTAATAAAGAATAAATGACAATATTGCGAAAATAAGATGTCGCAAAAATTAGGTGATTTACAGTACTCTTCTTGCTATCCAATGGGATCTGAAGACAATGGGAATTATTTCACTGTTTATTCATCACTTTGCCTTAAAATTAAATAGAAAATGAATAAATTTATTGGAACACAGAATGAAGGGCAAGAAATACACATGAGAAAGAGAAAGTCAAGAAAACTGCCAGAGGTCTAATATTGGTTTAATATAAGAGTACAATATTCAGGCTGAAGATATTATTATGAAATTAAATTGAATTTTGAAGTTTCTAAGTTTTAATTGAAATGAGGCATGTTCTTTTATACACATTTTTCTTTAGGCAGAGTGTGATTGTAAATTTTTAGATGATTCATGTAGATCTATGTATAATATTACATATACATGTACCTTTAATAACAGACTAATCATTGGTGCTTTAAGAAGGGGGAAAGGCTCATTTTTGCCTTATTTTTTACCTTGTTTATTGATATTCTAGTACATAAGATATGTTTCAAAAATACACCAAGTTCATGTCCCTGTTAAATTATCGTTAATTTGTATCGTTAGATTAATGTCACATTTAACATTTGATTACGTTTTACTTTATTTTTTTCTGCTTTATTTTACAGACATAAGTTAGACGTTGTCAGTTGTGGTAACAATACGGCTCGGGTTCAGAAGGCCATCTGCAGCGGATTTTTCCGTAACGCAGCGAAGAAAGATCCCCAGGAGGGATATCGTACACTGATAGACAGTCAGTTGGTCTACATACACCCCTCTAGTGCCCTCTTTAACAGGCAACCAGACTGGTAAGTTGTCCTAAGAAGGTAATGTGTGTAGACTCCTCTAGTGCCCTCTTTAACAGGCAACCAGACAACTACAAAGGTAATGTGTGTAGTACCCCTCAGGTGCCCTTGACAACAGACAACCAGACTGGTAAGTTGTTCTACAGAGGTAATGTGTGTAGTACCGGCCTCAGGTGCCCTTGACAACAGACAACCAGACTGGTAAGTTGTTCTACAGAGGTAATGTGTGTAGACTCCTCTAGTGCCCTCTTTAACAGGCAACCAGACTGGTAAGTTGTTCTACAGAGGTAATGTGTGTAGACTCCTCTAGTGCCCTCTTTAACAGGCAACCAGACTGGTAAGTTGTTCTACAGAGGTAATGTGTGTAGACTCCTCTAGTGCCCTCTTTAACAGACAACCAGACAACTACAGAGGTAATGTGTGTTAAGTACCCCTCAGGTGCCCTTGACAACAGACAACCAGACTGGTAAGTTGTTCTACAGAGGTAATGTGTGTAGTACCGGCCTCAGGTGCCCTTGACAACAGACAACCAGACTGGTAAGTTGTTCTACAGCTGAGGTAATGTGTACACCCCTCACATGCCCCTGTTAACAGACAATGAAACATTCAAATATTGTTATGTGCAATTCCACTTCATGTTTTGATTGGTTTTAATTTTTAGCTCACCCGAGCCGAAGGCTCAAGTGAGCTTTTCTGATCACATTTTGTCCTGTCTGTCTGTCTGTCCGTCTGTCTGTAAAATTTTCAACTTCTTCTCAAGAACCGCTTGGCCAATTTCAACCAAACTTGCCACAAAGCATCCTTGAGTGAAGGGAATTCAAGTTTGTTCAAATAAAGGGCCACGCCCTCATTCAAGGGGAGATAATTGAGAATTAGTGAAAATTAGGTTTATGTTTAAAAAAATCTTCTTCTCAAGAACCACTGTGCCAGGAAAGATGAAACTTATGGGGAAACATCCCCAGGTAGTGTAGATTCAAGTTTGTTCAAATCATGACCCCTGGAGGTAGGGCAGGGCCACAATGGCCGACCAAAGTTTTATATAGAAATATATATATATACGAAAATTCTTTAAAAATCTTCTTCTCAAGAACAGCAAAGCCATAATTGCTCATATTTATATGGAAGCATCCCCAGGTAGTGTAGATTCAAGTTTGTTCAAATCATGACCCCCAGGGGTAGGGCGTGGCCACAATGACTGACTAAAGTTTTATATAGAAATATATAGGAAAATTCTTTAAAAATCTTCTTAAGAATAGTAAAGCCATAATTGCTCATATTTATATGGATGCATCCTCAGGTAGTGTAGATTCAAGTTTGTTCAAATCATGACCCCCGGGGATAGGGCGGGGCAAAACTTTTGGATTTAAACCTTTCAATAGTAAAACAATTTCTACTTTTTCCTAGCCACAATGCTCGGGTGAGCGATGTGGCCCATGGGCCTCTTGTTACAAGTTATTTGCAAAATCAAAATTAGTATAGGATATGAAATCCCAGAGTTAGTGAATTAAGAAATAACTATGGAGAAAGGCATGTTTTTTCCCCTTTTTAAAGCTGTTTTAAAATTTGTAGAATTCTTAATTGTGCAGAGCTGACATCAAATAAACTCTTTATGTATTACTAAAATTTTACAGGGTTATTTACCATGAACTTGTGCTGACAACAAAAGAATACATGAGAGAGGTGACAGCCATTGATCCCAAGTGGCTCGTGGAGTTCGCACCCAAATTTTTCTGCTTCAGTGACCCAACAAAACTCAGCAAGCAGAAAAAAAAGCAGAAGATTGAGCCATCCTGTACAACAAGTACAAGGATGCAAACTCCTGGAGAATCTCAAGAGCTTTCAAGAAAGTGCACTCAAAAGTTACTTTCTAGATTTTTATGTCAACTTTCTGTTTCTTATGGGATTCTTTGTTGCTTGGGGAAAAGTGCTTGTCTTGTACAATCTTTAGATGTGAATTGTGATTTTTTTAATGTCTCAAAATTAAAAATGAACAACTTTTAAAATCATATGCATTTGTTATATTAATATACATGTACTTTAAATGAGAAAAGAAAAGTGAAGGTGACAAAGGTTACTATACTTAAAACGTTTAAAGACCATGATTTATTTATCACAGAGCATTCGGATGAATAATATTTTGCAGAATCATCAGGTCAGAAATATGTTTTAACTTTTATATGAAGTTTTTATGCCCTGCCATGAATATGGCCGGGGCATATACTGTTTGTCATGTCCGTCTTCCGTCCTTCCATCACACTTTCCCGGTTTGTGTTTAGCTCTGTTCAAAACTAAGTTTCAAAGAAACTATCCAAGATATTTTCATCAAACTTCATATGGTGATAGATATTGATAAGAGCTATGCCACTGCATCAACATTTTTTGACCTTGACCTTTCCTTTGACCTTGACCTCACTTTTCTTAAATTAGTGTTTAGCTCAGTTTTAAATATACCATTCAAGATGGTGTTGTCAAACTTCACATGTTGATACAAACTTGCATGGATAATGCATCTCAGGATGAACACTACCAGACTTGCTTCGGATGCTGGATCTGACCTACATTTTCCAGATGAGTGACCAGGTTCAAGTTTTTAAAGCAGGTCCATTCCTAAGGAACTATAAGCCCTACTTGGCCCAAACTTGCATGGATGATGCATCTAAGGATGGATACTACCAGACTTGCTTCGGATGCTGGATTTGACCTATATTTTCATTTCCAAGTAACTATAAGCCCTGCCTGAACCAAACTTGCATGGATGATGCGTCTAGGGATGGACACAACTAGACTTGCTTCGGATGCTTTATCTGACCAGGGATAGACATTTACTTTAAGAATCACTCAATTTCCTTTGGGCAAGTGAACTACAACTTTGACCAGCCTGCATGCAAAAAAAAAAAAAAATATTAATAAAAAGAATATCCTTGCAATTACCCATGATTACTGTTTATTCTTGATTTATTGATTGTAAATATTAAAGAAAAACAAATTGATTTCTAATTTGAAGTAACTTGTCAGGGAAAATGTTGATGTGATGGTGATGCTACATTTCTATATTTCATGTATTTTCTAGCCTAAAAACACATATAGCTGAGCAGTCGCCCGCGTGGCGCAGTGGTTAGAGCGTCTGCTCTAGAGTCGCGAAGTAAGAAGTCAATCCTCACGTTGCGGGGTCGAATCCCACTGTGGGACGTTGTCTTCATTATTATTTGGTGGTGGTGTCTCCATATGAGGGAAAAATTCCAGAGAAAGATGTTTTCACAACAAACAAAGAAATTACTAAAGAGAAAATATAAAACATGAATATGTTGGTCATATCTCTGCATGAAAAAAATATTCCAGCTTTTCAAATACTGGAACCATTATAACCCTTTCAAAACACTCATATCAGCTTTTTAGCTCACCTGAGCTGAAAGCTCAAGTGAGCATTTCTGATCACCCGTCGTCCGTCCGTCCGTCCGTCCGTCCATCCGTCTGTAAACTTTTCACATTTTCAACTTCTTCTCAAGAACCACTGGGCCAAGTTTAACCAAACTTTGTACAAAGCATCCTTGGGTAAAGGGGAATTTAAATTGTTAAAATCAAGGGCCAAGACCCCTTCCAAGGGGAGATAATCAAGAAAATACAAAAATAGGGTGGGGTCATTAAAAAATCTTCTTCTCAAGAACCATTGGACCAGGAAAGCTGAAACTTATATGAAAGCATCCTGGGGTAGTGTAGATATTAAATTGTTAAAATCATGACCCCCGGGGGTAGGGCGGGGCCACAATAGGGAATCCAAGTTTTACATAGAAATATATAGAACAAATCTTTAAAAATCTTCTTCTTAAGCACCACTGGGCCAGGAAAGCTGAAACTTATGTGGAAGCATCCTTGGGTAGTGTAGATATTAAATTGTTAAAACCATGACCCCCGGGGGTAGGGCGGGGCCACAATAGGGAATCCAAGTTTTACATAGAAATATATAGAACAAATCTTTAAAAATCTTCTTCTCAAGAACCACTGGGTCTCAGAAGCTGAAACTTATATGGAAGCATCCTTGGGTAGTGTGGATATTAAATAGTTAAAACCATGACCCCCGGGGGTAGGGTGGAGCCACAATAGGGAATCCAAGTTTTACATAGAAATATATAGAACAAATCTTTAAAAATCTTCTTCTCAAGAACCACTGGACCAGGAAAGCTGAAACTTATGTGGAAGCATCCTTGGGTAGTGTAGATATTAAATTATTTAAATCATGACCCCCAGGGGTAGGGCGGGGCCACAATAAGGAATCCAAGTTTTACATAGAAATATATATAGAACAAATCTTTAAAAAAGATCTGCATCACCCAAGTTACTCAGGTGAGCGATGTGGCCCATGGGCCTCTTGTCTGGATTCCTTATCATATAATGTCTGTTGTCCATCTGTTCATCTGAAATCTTTTAACATTTTTAGAACATTCTTCTCTAGAACCACTGGGCCAATTTTACCAAATTCACATAGAAATATGTACATTTGTATGTCAGTCTGTCCATCTGTCTCAATAAATTATCCTTGGTCATCACGGTCATATATATTGAATGAGAAGAGACAAGGCATTCATATTGAACTTATGTATTAGTATTTACCTGTGAGAATGGCATGATTTTTTTTACATGTGACCTAGAAGTTTGATCTACTTGCAAAAAAATTAAATTTTTTAAATTCATCATTTTGAAAGAGAAAAGTTAGGGCATTCATTATTATACATGCATGTATATTATTACCTGTGATAAGACCTTTCCAAATAATGGGTAAATTATGAATTTTGACTCTGTGACCTTGAAGCCTAACCTACCTTTCAAAAATGTTGCATTTGCTTATAACTTTTAATTGAGAAGAGATATGACTCTCACATTTGACATGTACATTAAGTACTCATAAGAATTCAAGATGTTTCCCAGCATGCGATGCTTTTTTTACCCCTTGACGTTGATGTTTTACCTAATTTTCAAAATATTTATCTCTCCTAAAAGATGATTAGGCTTCTGAGTAAAATTAAGGAGGAGTAAAGGGAAGACAGAGCTTTTTTGCTTAAAAAACGTCATTTTTCGACCCCCATTTGACCCCCCAGGACAAAATCAAAATTCCGAAACGTTACTGCACATCTACATGATACCACTAACCATCTCCCAAAATATGATTAGGCTACTGTGTAAAATGTAGGAGGAGTTCAGGGAAGACGGGGCTTTTTGCAAAAAAAATTTTTGACCCCCATTTGACCCCCCTTCCGATATTCAGAAAATATATCTCAAATGTAGGACATTCTTACTAAGAAAAAGATATGTAAGTGATTTAAAACTTTTTTTTGGTTCAAAATAAAAACTACACTATGATCGGCGACAGTAACGTAAATATCGATTTCTGCTATAAAATGCGATTTTCGCCTATGACAATCATTCAAGTAACAACAAACAATTGTTGTAATTTAATCAACAACCAACAATGGTTCGGTTCATTCTACCTATTCCCACTATTTGAAAATCAGGTAGAAAAGGTAAGATTTCATGTGGGAAAAGGTGGAATTTTTGTGTCAACAAACAATTAACTATGAAAACATACAATATTACTGTATAAACAATGATTAAAGAATACCCATAGAGGTTAGGACAGGTATATTTGCTCTTTAAAATAATAAGAATTTTTAACCAATATTTGAAAAAATAAAAAAGATTTTTTAGGGAATTAAATAATATTTTCCCCATTAATCTATTTATTCTAGAATCCACTTATTTAAAATCCTTTCCTCGATAAATCTATTTAATATTTGTTCTAAAATGTAGCTGTTAAAGTGCAGTTTTCTTGTAATACCTTTTTTGTTACTCTCTCAAATCCCAATTTTTTGAAGGAAATAAATAATATTTCTGACAAGTTCATTATTTATGACTGGCAGAAAATAAAATTTATTAGGAATATTATATTACTTAAAACACGGTACATTATTTAAAGCGACCCCATTAATAATATTGGAAATAAGCATGTTTTATATATTGCTTTCATGGGTTATCCTAGGCAAAGATTGATTAAAAATATGTTTATTTGTGTTGTATGTGATAAGATCTGGTTCTGAGATCTGTATAATCCTGTGATAATGATAACTGTGATAATACCTGGAGTGATATTGTTTTAGTGTGATAGCTACATGTATGTGCTAGCACTTTTAAGCGATCCCTAATTAATTTTTGAATGTAATTTGTGTTATGATTTGTAATGAATTTGACTCTTTGCCTGAATAAACATAATAATAATAATAATAATAATTGAGACTATAATTTGAGAATGCGTATATAACAAAGTATCAATTTGTTTAAACAAATTATCAATTTATATAACAAATCACTAATTCGTATTTTTTAAAAATTTTATAGAATCAGTGATTAGATTTATATACTGGATAATGTTCAAAACTTTAGTCTTGTAACATAACGGTTTTTCGCTCAAGGGGCAATAACTTTTAAAAGGTTTTATCTTAGGGGACAAGAATCCCATGTAAAGTTGGTATTACTTTATCACATGTACTTTTAAGAAACATTTCTTTGTTTATATAGGAAGAGTCTGAAAGCGGTCAAGGTTCATTTACGCAGGGTCAACTGCCCCGCCCCCTACCACTTCTTATTTGTTGTTGCTCTATAATTTGAGACTAAATTTGTGCGTATATAACAAAGTATCAATTTGTTTAAACAAATTATCAATTTATATAACAGCTGTCATGGATCATATGTAAAGTTGGTATTACATCACATGATATAGCTGCCCTGCAGGTGACACAAAGATCCGCGTAACTTTGTACAATAACAATGAATGAACAAATAAAAAAGTACAGAAATTCTAGATCAATTTTGTACACAACTTTTTCTAAAATCCATTCACATTCTTGGGTTTGCTAACTGCAGTACTCGACTCTGGTGGTGCAAGCTTTACGCGTACATGTGCGTCGGAACCGGGGGGAGAGGGGGGTGCAAAGATAGACATAATATAGGCATTGAA